TTCAATTGGATTAACTATCACTTGGAATAATTTACTCACTTACACCCTCAAGCTCATTCATTCATTCAAATGAATTTTACATGAGAGCATCAAGAGAATCAAGTTTCAAGGGTGAATTTTTTGCTACCTTTCTAAAGCTCTAGAAATTTACAAAGCTCAAACTTTTTTTTTCTAGCGAAATAAATGAAGGTGGAAAAAAATATATTCTAAATAGGGATGGAAACACTCATGGAATTTATTTCAACATATTAACATTTCCAGTTAAATGCTATTTAGAATTTAAATTGTTAACAATCAGTTGATTGCAATTTATTATTGTTGCAGATTTGCATTCAAATGATTTTACGTTTAACAACAAAGTTAACAAACTATTTAGTGTATTTGTGTTAATTGTACAGAAAGAGAAAAAGTTTAACATCATCAATTGAGGGCCATTAATTATTCGAGGTCAATTGAACATTTCCTATTAATTTACACTACTATTTCCATGTAATTTTTTTCCATAGACTTTCAATATAAACATATCATGTTGATCATAAAAAGTATCATCAATTGATAAAAAAGTGCCAACTATTTCATACTCTCTGTGTGTTAATGATACACATTATGTGTTACATTTACAATAACCGGAAACACTTTTTACTGGGTGGCCTTTGACTTTCTTAAGGCTGAACTTACAGAGAGGGGGAGAGATTGATCTTCATATGGATACAACAACATTGGAAAACAAAAGTTACTTTGAAAGATGGAGAAGAGAGAGAGAGAGAGAGAGAGAGAGAGAATTACAGAGGAAGAATGAAAAAAGAGCTTGCAATTTGTTGTAATTGTCAAAGTCGAAAGCTACTAATACACATAGACTATTGCAATTACATCGCTAATTGAACATTAAGACGAAGGGAACATGTTAATTGTGCGACAATCTGTTTTTCTCATAGGTCACAGTTATTTTTGTAAATTCTTTTTTTTCTCTCTCTCTTTTCCTCTGTAAATTTTACTATTATTGCATCAATATCGACATTTGCATTATCATCAATCGTTTTTCTTGTAAAAATGTAGCGATTTTTTTATGCTCTGTGTAGTATTTGAATTACATTTTCCAGTGAGAACAAAATCTTACAAAATGATCATTGGATCTGCAATCAGCTTCATTTACATTGATCTAATTGTCTAGTTGATTTTGCTGTTAATCTACAACTTGATTGGTTTAATTGTGATTAAATTGATGATTTATCCCTGAATTAAGTAGATTATCAATCAAATAAACATCATTTACCCTCAATCAGATAACCGTTGTAATATTTGTACTTTTCATCCCTTGTCAATGAATCAAAAGCATTTTTTGTTGCAAATCTGATTTGCTTGTTTTGGATTAGATGAGATTTGTCAAATTATCATCATCATCATCATCTGATGTGTATAAGAAAATGGTCACGTGACTATTGAACAATATATATCATATTTACAAAAGTCTTTGGGTTTCAGGAAACCCTATGAAAACAATTTCCCATAGATGGAAATGTAAGATTTTTCCTTATAAATTAAACTGTAAAATTGGTTTGACACACTTTGGTTACAGTTATTATATTGGCTCCAAAAAAAGGGAAACAATGAGCATCTCTATGTAAAAATCAATGGATGAGAATGATGAAAAAGGGAGAAACAGAGACAAAATTGCAGAGATGAAAAGATCGAGAGAGAAGCAGATGAGAGAAAAAGATGAATGGATGATAAGAATGATGAAGAGAGAAAGAGGCTAAAGGTCAGTTGATAGAGAGAAAAAGAAAAGTGAGAAAAGATGAAAAGATGAAAAGAGATGATGATAAAAAAAAGGAGTGGTGATTGAATGAGAAGGTAAGAGAAAACAAGATGATGATGAAAACAAAGATGAAGAAAAAAAAAGCTAAAAGTCAAAAGAAATGAAGAGAGACGCACAAAGAGAAGATTAAAACGGAAGCTTCGAAGTTCTAAAATGTTCTAAGAAAATGAGAGAGTCCATTGAATAGGTAATTGTACCGAAGTGCCAATAATCACAACTATTATCGTCGAATGAAAAAAAAGCAAGATATCATTTTCTTTTCTCTTTTTCATCATCATCTCTCTCATTATATACAATCATCTTTCAACACATACCACACATTTCGTCCTCATCATCATTGACTTTATCAATTACCTTTTTTTCACAGGTAAACATTAAACACTATTAACTTTCATCGGCTCTTCATCACAGAGATAAAAATCATTCCAATGGTAGAAAAGTCATAAAAAATTAGACTCATCATCCATTCAATTGTAGAGTTGTAAATTTACACACTCAGGTAATCAAATTAACAAAGAGAAAGAGAGAGAGAGAGAGAGCATTAAATCCCATTGAAGTATTTGATAAACAACAATAATTTTGTCTCAAAGGTTTAGGGTTGAATATTATTCAAATGATCATCACACTAATGGTCATCATCAATCAAGTACAATGGTAACTAGATTTTTTATATCGATGATAAATTCATTCAATGACCATACGAATCATTAAACACATTATGTTTATATAATTTCCCACGATTGTAAATATCACATAGACTTTTTGCTATCGAAATTCATTTAAATGAATTGAAAGATGAGAATGGAAAACGGAACAAAAATTTATCTGAATATGAACTTAAAGATTATCATTTTTTGGTAGAAATCAATTGATTACAATCGAGACCAGGATTCTCTCTCTCTCTCTCTCTCTCTCTCTTTCATAAGTTTAACTGATTGACCATTATCTCCATCGTCATAATTATAAACCATTGACCATTGATTGTTATTTTCTTTGACACTTTTGGTGGTTGATTGTCATTGTTATCAATTTATTATTATTATCATTTCAATGGCAGTAAATATCATCTGTTACTTTTTTTTGACTGATCAGTTTGAATTGATTTTCGAGATGACCATTGGTCAATCAATTATCGATTAATATAAATCATATGAATTCATCTTTAGTAAACTAGATTGACCATTTCCCTAAATGTGGGAGGAAAAGTGAATGATCAGCTTAATGGTCAATCTTTTATGCTGATTTCAAGAGATGTGTAAACAACAACAATTTAACAACTGTAATAACAATTGACCAATTATTTGATTACTTTTTGACTTATAATCATAAACATGTTTACAATCAAGAGATAATTGTTCATTAACTGATTTAAATTACTTACCTAATGTAAATAATTTGGAGTATGTTGTAGTTGGACAATCAGTTGATGGCATTGATGATGACGATAACAATTTACCATTAATATTATCATGATTGTTGTTGATCATGTTATTATTATTATTGTGATGATGGTTAATTGTTGATGTTGAATGATGATAAGTTACTTCACATTTGTAATTTGCTTCATCACTTAATCCTAAATTTTTAATCCTTAGATAAGTAATCCCGGTAAGAGTAATATTTGTATCGTCCATTGATATCCTTTCGGGTTGACCAATAAATGAACCTGATACTTTGTGATGTCCACCACCAGTAAATGAATATGAATAAATATGTTCCCATTGTGACGAAACATTTTTAAACCAAGTGACCATTGAAATGGAACCACAACTTTTAATATTTACTTCACAAGGTAATGAAGCAATTTGATCACCAAATGTCGCGATTTCATGGACATGATTAGATATTGAAGATGATGAAGAAGACGATGATGATGGAAATATTGGAAATGATGATGGAGATGGAGATGGTGACGAGGAAAATAAAGAAAATGAAGATAAAGATAAAGATGATTGAGATAATCCTTGAACATTTGGAACACAATAAGTTATCAATAGAAAGATAATTAAACAAGAACAAAGAAAAAGTAAATTAATCAATGACGATAAATTCATTTTCATTCACTTTAATTATTTTTGATTTAATACATTAAATAGTTGATTAGTTGATTACAATCTTTAAGATTATCAATTTTCTTTAGAAAACACAAAGCATGATTATAATTCCCATTGAATTGATTTCAATCCAATTGAAATGATTGACACACAGAAAAATCAAATCCACACAAAACAATTCAATTTGGTTATTACTCTAAATTAATTAATTACGTTAATTGTTGCTTTAATTTCCCTTTTCCAATCATTGTTAAATAATCTTGTTGGTTTTTCACATTGAATTTTATTAGGGTAAGTGTATTAATCTGATGTTGACAATCAACTAAATTGCCGGTTAACTGTTAACTAGAATGAAACTTTTCTTTTTTCTATTTTATCACAACAGAGCAAACTCATCAATCGTCTTCATCTTCAAAGGTTATCATTTAACATTAGATTTACATCTCCATCTATTGGATCATTTACTCACTTATTTTTCGTATTTTGATTCTTAAAAAGTTTCTTGGTTTTTGAACTAAATCAACTGTTTTATTTAAGTTGTCTGATTATATCAAAAACTCTCTTGGTAAATCGAGTCTCCAACAAGAAGGTAAGTCTGAGAGAAAATTCTAGCCATATAAACTTTTTAAAGCTACGGTGTATTAAAACGGTTTATCACTTTGGCCGCAGATTCTCCCATTCCAAAGATTCCACCACGACCTCCCATTCGTCCTCCCATCATGTTTCGAGATTTATCGAAAAAGTAGAACATACTACCTATGATTATCATCGTAGGAACGAAACTGAGAAAATCTCGACTGTTTTTTGAATGAAAGGAGAAAAAGAAAGAAAGAGAAATTAACTTTTTCTCATTACCAATGGAAATGAAATGAACTTGATGAATTGCATCACGAGAATCGAACATCGTAATTGTTACTTACACTTCCATTTCATTTCTATAAACAACAGAAACATAATTTGAAGGCTCAAGACTCATTTCGGCTTGGATATTTTCTAAATTACGTTCAAAGGCATCGACACTTCCGATATTAAACCAAAGGACGGAAGTTGTATTTGCTTGAGAGGCATCGGAATAAAATTTAACTCGAACCCATTTCTTGTTGACTACCTCTAACTTTTCAACGGTTCCTCGAGCCAAATGGTTGTTGACAAAATCTTTCCATGAGATCTCTTTGTATCTCAACTCATTGAGAACCAATAAACCCAAAAGAGCTGAAGCTCCATAGGCGATATAAGGTAAAGCCTTATTTGGTCCTGATGATTTTTTACCACCACCGAAACTAAAATCCCATTTCCAGGTATATTTATTTTGAGAATCCGATGGTGATGAGGATAACTTTGAAGGAAGATGAAGACTTTGCTCGTGATGAGGGTTCAAAATCGGATTCTTTTCTCTCACTACTACGTTTAGCTGAACTCGATTCTCCAGCAGCTTCTTTGGTTTGATTCTCAGTTGGTGTTTTCTTATCTGTAGAGAGAAACAAAATGGCGTCAATAAAGAACATCCACATTCGATCAAATCAAAGTCACGTCAAAATCACTAGAAAACAATTAAGACACAAACAAATAAAACAAAATGTCACCAACTCACTTGATTTACCAAAAAATTTCTCAAATCCTTCCGGTGGCTTATTACAAAATGACCTCCACTGGGCAATCAGTTTACCCAATCTTGATGGTGACCTTAGATGACGATGATCGTGATAGTGTGAGAGTAAATCTAAAAAGATGAAAACATGAAAAACAATGAAAAATTAACAAATAAATCAGCATAATGAAAAAAACAAGCAATGAACATGAAGAAAATAGATTTCTCATTAATTATCTTTCATAATTACTAACACCAAGTTAGACCCCTGATTGGAGTTTAAACTAGTTGATTGAACAAAAGGAAAGACATCAATCAATAGAATCCACACCTAAAAAAGTACCCATCAAGTGACACAAATCAAAACACAAACAAGAACGAGATAAACATGAAAGAAATGGACAAATTAACCAAACCTTTTGTATCGAATCATATTATTTTTTCCAATAAAACCCATTTGTAAACAAAGATACTATTAATTGGTAATTAAAAATTGTCAACTTTCAAATAAAAAACCACTGCGAATACTATTAGGATTATCCTAAACCAAGTCAACTAAAAAACTTTGAATGAATAACTTTCTGACAGAAAGTTTCTGTCCTCAACTTGTTTGCAATACCAATCGTTTAAGGGACTTTATGTTAAGTGAAAAAAGTAAATAAGAGACTAATTAACTATTTTGGTGTTTTTTGAAGCCATAATTTATTTTGATCTTAATGGTTTGTAAACACTAAATTAAAAAATTGATTCAAATCAAACAATCAATTTTTTATTCATGTCAGGTTAATATGCTCAATAAATAATTACAATCTTATTCAGTTCATTTTTCAGGTTAAACCAAATTACAAAACTATTTTACTGTTGGACTAAATTTTACCAGGACATTAACTCATCAACTTTGATACTCCAATTTAGTTGGAAGTTGTGAGAAATGAATTAGAAAAAGGAAAACACGTCAATAGATGTCTCTGTCTATTTTTGAATGAATGTTTGAACAGCATCACAGATAGTATTTGATCCCAGAGATGAACAGATCTTTTTGTCTATTTTTACCTCATCTCGTTCTTGTTTTGGTTTTACTTTGTGACATTTAATGGGTAATTTTTTAGGTGTTGAATGGATTCTTGGGCTCGCATTACGAGCTTAATCATTCTCATCTTCTCAAAATAAATATACCTGGAAATGAGATTTTAGTTTCGGTGGTGGTAAAAAATCATCAGGATCAAATAAGACTTTACCTTATATCGCCTATGGAGCTTCAGCTCTTTTGGGTTATTGGTTCTCAATGAGTTGAGATACAAAGAGATCCCATGGAAAGATTTTGTCAACAATCATTTGGCTCGAGGAACCGTTGAAAGGTCAATTAGACCACTGGCGCTGAATTAACAATTGTTTTATTAATAAAAGATATCGCATATCTTATCTCTGTTTAAAACCTTTTCCAAGTCCATTTTTTGAAGTGTTGCTTAAATGACCAGGCCTACCTCAACCAGGACTGCACGAAAATATTTATTATATTAAATGCTCATTCTATATTTTTTCCTGAAAAATGAGTAAATTAAATTGAGTCGGAGTGAATTTAAATTTAAACTGTAGGCATTCATTCGCATACAGTCAATTGTTAGATTATGAGACCCTCTCTAAATAGCTTAAAATCACTATTAAAATAGCAAATTCAATTAATTGATTACCCAGGCACTTGCTGAGCAAATTTTATCAGATTATCCTTTCGAACTAACAATACTAATTTTAATCATTCTCAATCAAGAAAATGGCGTTCAAATTTCTTGAAAATGATTAATTAACAAAAGTGAACAATTAAAAGCACAACTCGGTTGTCTTGGTTACGATAGAAACGTTATTTCAATTTAGTTTTATTATCTTGGCAGTTGACTGTAATAGGCGGTCATGGTTCACCTTTAGGCATTAATTAAATTGAGATACAGAGCAATTACGTTTCAACAGTTTTCGTTCAGTGGATTAATGAAATTGTATTAGATCAACTCAAAAGATTAATTATGTAGGTGGCGCTTTCCCTACTTTAAGTGTAATTGATCTGTGTATCCACCTCTTTACTTATCTTTAACTAATTTATTGCTGAGAAAAGATGATTCTGCGTAGTTACTGTTAAGCTTTTGCTAATACAGTAATATAAAGCTTTGGCTAGATTTTATAAAATGCCTCACTAACCAGACTGGTGGTGAGAGCATATGATTAGTGAATAACGCAACTCGCGTTCAAGCCTCACATGAGACTACTCTTAACCTGACGAGCCTAACCTAGCAGGTGCAGCTTCAAGCTGCATCTGCACTCTTTTAATCTTTATTAAACATAGTTTATTGTATTTTGTTCGCTTATACACCGTTCGCGTTTTATGTTTTCATTAGACGAAATAATTCACCGAAATTAAGAGTCAATATTGTGCTCAATTTAATTCATATGAAAAGCCAATGTTGGTTTTAGTTGGAAAACTTAATCAAATCTAATCAAAAACGTTAAACAATTTAACTCTTCTTCTTGTATTAAGAAGGAAACACGCAGATTTTAAAATAAAGAAAATGAAATACTCTAAGAGATAAGATGAGAGAGAGTAACGTGAGTGACAGTTTGGGGCACGAAAGAAAAGAATAAGGAAAATGGTAAAAATTAGTTTACCCTTTGTCGGTCAACTAATGGGCAGGGATGGTCATTAGTTGGTTGATCATCTCAGCAATTATCGTTAATTATGGTAATAATAATAATATAAAATAATGGTTAACATAGAAAGGAAGAGATGAAAGTAATTAAGAAAAATGATAAACCTAATTGTTGGGAATCGACCAAATGTTAAGGGTCATATCTCAGAGACTAATCAACTTAAATTAATGATTAGTATATTGGTCGATTCTATGTTTATTGTCTCTCTAACGATATCTTATTCATGTCTTAATTGTAATATTTCATCAAAATTATCATGTGTGCGAAAAGTTTACTTGAAGCTAAATTATTAATGAAAATTTAAGGTTTTTGGTTAATTGCTCGAGAACAAAATGATCAATCAATTATCTTGATATACGAATCGATTGCAATTAATGAGCTCTACAAGATGATAGCATTACAATCAGTGAAAAGCTAATGGGCGCGAAAAGATGGCGACAAACTAATGAGTTCCCATGTTAAGTGAATGGGAGAAAATCGAAAAGTTGAAATTATTCAAATAAATATAATCGACGATTAAATTGTTAATAATTAAGCTTAAATAAGCGCAAATTAAGCTATTATAACCAACAGCCAAGTAAAGGGGCTGTTAAACGTGGCTATGATAACTTTGTATCAAGTGGTTCCATTTTCTTAACCTTCAAGGTGATGTTGACCATCCACAATAACGGAAGGAATCATTTAAAAGGACAACAATCCATACTAGATAATCCTCAGACTTCTCTTCGACCAGCATCAGTTGGAAATTCAGTATTCTAGCCTTCATTGGATATTGATCACGTGATGAAACTTCCCTGAAGCCGTATAAAATTCAAGTCCACCCACAGTTGACGAGGGTAAACCAAAGCCTGTTGTTCGCAACAGATAATTATCGATGACTCGAAACTCGATATAAAGAAAATTCGGTTCTCATACGAATGCCATTTTTGGTTACATGGATCTATTAATAAACAATATTTTCGCATCTGGAGAACATAGAACCCGTATTTTGTTATCGAAAAGCCTCTTAATCCAAAGAAAATAAATGTTTGGATGGGTATTAATGCCAAATATACAATAGGTGCTTGTTTTTCGATTAACGGTAACATGAGACTAATGCAACAAATTGTTAAAATCATATAAAATTATAGTAATATCCATTATCGCTTACCAGATTTTTAGAAGAAATAATCAATCGCAGCATATGTCAGCAAAAATTGTGAGTATCTATACCTCAATGGTTTATTTATTCCTTGTCAAAAGTTCAAAGACAACGATCATTTGATCTAATTGCTTTTACCTAACCAGCCCGCTCAGGTCAGTTGCCGACCATCGCAACATTACCAAAGGTGATGCTTTGTATTTGGTGGGACTGTAAATGACCAATACACTGGGAACTTCTCGAATCTGGTCAAATGGTAACAGGTCAACTTGCCTGTGAACAATTGGCCAGAAATCTATCTAATTAGGTCTAATTAATCAGAAGCTCTCAAGAAGCTCTCATCAGGAGAAAATTAATCACTTGATTTTCGATTTCGTTGGCATCTTTGACAGGAAATTATGGTCCAGTGTCAAATTAGAAAAGTAGAGAGAAAATTGTAAGTTTTTTTTAATCAAAATGGAACATTTAATTTAAGGTTAATCGAAAAGCATCAATATCTCTCTGGTGGTTCTACAATAATATAAATTACATCTTTAATCCTTCTGGTAAACTAGTGTCTTCTTCAAATGATCCCGTTCCCTCTACGAATTCCTCGTACGTGCTCTTCTCTTTGAACGGTCTTTTACCACAGAACTTCTCTTTCCAAAAGCCTTTGTGCTACCTGAAAGAATAACAAGATAGGAACAGTTATTATTCCATCATTATGATCATGATAATAGCAAAAGAAAAAAAGAGAGAAAATTCTGCATCAATTTACCTTTTCGACATCTTCTTTCTTTTCTGTTAATAATTTGATTGTTCTATCGTAGGCTCTTTGAACTAATGCTCGAGCCTCGTTATCTATCAACTGTGAAGTAGCTTCGCTGTATGGTTTGTCCACTACAAGTTCACCAGGTTGTGGCATCTCGAAGGATAAATTTCCAACCTTTGAATTCATACCGAATTGTACAATCTGTGCATAAGCGTTTTGTGTCACTTTTTGAAGATCATCTTGAGCACCGGTGGTTATTTTGTTGAAGAAAATTTGCTCCGAAGCGCGTCCGCCCAAAGTCATACACATTCGATCAAACAATTGCTCTGTGGTGTACAAATATTGTTCCCGAGGAAGATTCATGGCGTAACCTAGCCCTTTACCACGAGGAATAATCGACACTTTTAGTAAAGGGTCAGCGTGTTCGAGGCACCAGCCGACAACCGCGTGTCCAGCTTCGTGATAAGCGACTGTTTTCTTTTCTTCTGGCTGAAGAACTTGAGTCTTTTTTTCCATACCAGCAACAACTCTTTCAATTGCAGCCTCAAAGTTTTTCAAAACAATGGTCTTACCAAGATCTCGAGCAGCGATAAGCGCCGCTTCGTTGCAAACATTTGCAATATCGGCACCAGTGAAACCTGGTGTTAGTGCTGCAAGTTTACGAGCGACATCATTTTTGTCCAGATCAGTTTTCAAGGGTTTAAGGTGAACCTTGAAAATGGAAGCTCGACCTTTAATGTCTGGAGCAGAGACATAAATTTGACGATCAAAACGACCTGGTCGGAGAAGAGCTTTATCAAGAATATCACTACGATTAGTTGATAGTAGTCCAGATTACGTTTAAAGGCATCGACACTTCCGATACTAAAAAGGCATCGGAAAAAAATTTAACTCGAACCCATTTCTTGTTGACTACCTCTAACTTTTCAACGGTTCCTCGAGCCAAATGGTTGTTGACAAAATCTTTCCATGAGATCTCTTTGTATCTCAACTCATTGAGAACCAATAAACCCAAAAGAGCTGAAGCTCCATAGGCGATATAAGGTAAAGTCTTATTTGATCTTGATGATGAGCCTTTACCACCACCGAAACTAAAATCCCATTTCCAGGTATATTTATTTTGAGAATCTGAGTATGATGAGGATAACTTCTCTCGTGATGAGAGCTAAAAATCCATTCAACACCTAAAAAATTACCACTTAAATGTCACAAATTAAAACAAAATAAAGAACGAGATGAGATAAAGGTAGGCAAAAATACCTGTTCACCTCTGGGATCAAATATTATTTGTAAAGCTTTTCAAACATTCATTCAAAAATAGACAGAGACATCTATTGACGTATTTTCCTTTTTCTAATTCATTTCTTATAACTTCCAACTAAATTTAGGTATCAAAGTTGATGAGTTCTAATTCCGGTAAAAATTAACCCAACAGTAAAATGGTTTTGTAATTTGGTTTAAGAGGAAAAGTGAATAGAACAACGATTGTAATTAGTTTATTGAGCATATAAACTTGACATGAATAATCTTAATGAAAAACTGATAGTTTGCTGTGAATCAATTTTTAACTTAACGTTTACAAACCATTAAGATCAAAATAAGTTATGGCTTCCAAAACCACTACAATAGTTAATTAGTTTCTTATTTACTTGTTTCACTTAACATAAAGTCCCTTAAGCGATTGGTATTGCAAATAAGTTGAGGTCAAAAAGTTTTTTGTTTGACTTGATTTAGGATAATCCTAATCGGATTCTTTGTGGTTTTTGGCTTTTGGTTTTTGATTTGTGATTTGAAAGTTAACAATTTTCAATTGACAATTAATAGTATCTTTGTTAACAAACGACTTTTATTGGATAAATAATACGATTCGATAAAAAAGGTTTGTTTAATTTTGTTTATTTCTTTCATGTTTATCTCGTTCTTGTTTTTGTTTTGATTTTTGACACTTGATGGTTACTTTTTTAGGCATGGATTCTATTGCCTTTCTTTTTCTCAATTAGATAGTGGAAATATTCAATCATGGGTCTATCTTGGTGTTAGTAATTATGAAAGATTATTAATGAGAAATCTATTACCACTTAATCCAAGACGATGTCAGGTTTGTCTCTTTTGTTTGGATTCTCATGTTTTTCTTGTTGTTCATTGCTTGTTTTTTCATTGTGTCGATTGATTTGTTAATTTTTCTTTTTCATTTCAATTTTCATGTTTTTATCTTAGTAGATTTAAAATAATTTATTCTCACATTATCTTAATCATCATCATTTAAGATCATCATCAAGATTGGGTAAACTGATTGCCCAGTGGAGGTCATTTCGTAATAAGCCACCGGAAGGATTTGAGAAATTTTTTGGTAAATCAAGTGAGTTGGTGACATTTAGTTTTTTGTTTGCTTGCGTCTTAATTGTTTTCTAGTGATTTTGATGGGACTTTAATTTTATTGAGTTGTGAATGTTCTTTATTGAAACCATTTTGTTTTTCTTTACAGATAAGAAAACACCAACCGAGAATCAAACCAAAAAAGCTGCTGGAGAATCAAGTCCAGCTAGTTCTGTTGTTTTTTAGCTCTCATCAGGAGCGAAGTTATCCTCATCACCCTCGGATTCTCAAAATAAATATACCTGGAAATGAGATTTTAGTTTCGGTGGTGGTAAAGGCTCATCATCAAGATCAAATAAGACTTTACCTTATATCGCCTATGGAGCTTCAGCTCTTTTGGGTTTATTGGTTCTCAATGAGTTGAGATACAAAGAGATCTCATGGAAAGATTTTGTCAACACCCATTTGGCTTGATGAACCGTTGAAAAGTTAGAGGTAGTCAACAAGAAATGGGTTCGAGTTAAATTTTATTCCGATGCCTTTTTAGTATCGGAAGTGTCGATGCCTTTAAACGTAATCTGGAAAATATCCAAGCCGAAATGAGTATTGAACCTGCAAATTGTGTTCCTGTTTTTTATAGAAATGAAATGGAAGTGTAAGTAACAATTTGTTGATTCTTGTGCTGAAATTCAATAATCTCATTTTATTTTTATTAGGATTTGAGAAAATGTTAATTTCTCTTTCTTTCTTTTTCTCCTTTCATTCAAAAAAAAACAGTCGAGATTTTCTCAGTTTCCTTCCTACTATGATAATCATCGGTAGTATGTCTACTATTTCTCGAAATCTCGAAACATGATGGAAGGACGAATGGGAGGTCGTGGTGGAATCTTTGGAATGGGAGAATCTACGGCCAAAGTGATTAATCCAACGGACATTGGTGTCAAGTTCAGAAATGTTGCTGGTTGTGAAGAAGCAAAGATTGAAATCATGGAATTTGTCAACTTCCTTCGTAATCCTCAACAATACACCGAACTTGGTGCTAAGATTCCCAAAGGCGCTTTGCTTACTGGTCCAATTACCGGTAAAACTTTCTAGCAAAAGCAACTGCCGGTGAAGCGAATGTCCCTTGCATCTCGGTTAATGGTTCAGAATTTTTGGAAATGTTTGCATTTTCAAGGTTCACCTTAAACCCTTGAAAACTGATCTGGACAAAAATGATGTATTTTACATTATTGTATATTGTACAATTTGAAGGCTGCGATTTCGCGCTGTGAGATAGTAATTAAGTCTTAATTTTTAGTAGAAAGGTTTACAATAGTTCTGATGTTGCGACCAACCCACTTTTCAAACAGAAAAGTTAACGTTCACCAAATCTGGAAAGAACGGTTTGATTACTAAAATTTATTAAAAAATGATTAATTATAAATGTAATGAAAATAAACAAAAGATAAATTTGATACTTCTAAATGTGCAACCTTAGTACCAATAATGAGAATGAAAGATGAAATTTGTCAGCTTTAAAAGGTGCGGCAATAAAGTTCAATAAAAATTAGATAAAATTCTCGGTTAACTTATTTGTCCTCACCAGACAGTCTGGTGGTGAGGACATATACTGAGTGAGCAACGTGTCACGCGTTCAAATCTCACTACAGGTGCTTTATTTAGCCTGACCAATCTAACCTAACCTAGCAGATGTAGCTTCTATAGCTACATCTGCACTTTTTTGTAACATTCCGAAAGTGCCATTAATGTGTTTACATTCATTTTAAAGAGTTTTGGATCGCATATTTAACATACCAGATAGTTTCTATGAACTTATTATTTAAACAAGCCTCTAGATTATCTGGATAATCACAGAATATGCGAAAAATTGCAAGACATAAATGGATTTCTCCAAATATCTAAGAAATTTTTCAATAAAAATCAAATGCTCTTAATCATGAATCGAAAATTTCTGCTAGATAAGCAAAACATCAAATCGTTTTAACTAATGTAGATTAGCATGTAAGCTGAGGGAACTACGTTTGACTTTATTTCATATGAAAAATATAAGTAAAGATTATGAGTAATTAAGTTAAATTAAGATTTTATCTTTGTTAGTTGAAAGGTCAAGAAAGAAATAGAAAGAAAGACAAAGAATGAAAAATTATTGAAAGTAAAGTAACAATAAGATTTTCTCAGCAGATATTGGATTAAATCTAAAATATGATCGTAAAAAATTCTCTATCACAATTTCATAATTTTTGATTAATAATAATGTAGTTTTATCTAAATTCACATTTAAACAACTATGGTACTCTAACTATAACTTCTTTATCTTTCTGAAATCAATCGTAATACCTCACGTTATCACATATTATCTGAAATCAAAGATGTCTATCAATAATAAATCGTCCAATAGATGGAGATGTAAACCTAATGTTAAATGATGATAACCTTTGAAGATGAATCCAATTGATGAGTTTGCTCTGTTGCGATAAAATAGAAAAAAGAAAAGTTTCATTCTAGTTAACAGTTAACCGGCAATTTAGTTGATTGTCAACATCAGATTAATACACTTACCCTAATAAAATTCAATGTGAACAACCAACAAGATTATTTAACAATGATTGGAAAAGGGAAATTAAAGCAACAATTAACGTAATTAATTAATTTTGAGTAGTAACAAAATTGGATTGTTTCTGTGTGAATTTGATTTTTTTTCGGTGTGTCAATCATTTCAATTGGATTGAAATCAATTCAATGGGAATTATTATCATGCTTGTTTGTGTTTTCTAAAGAAAATTGATAATCTTAAAGATTGTAATCAACTAATCAACTATTTAATGTATTAAATCAAAAATAATTAAAGTGAATGAAAATGAATTTATCTTCATTGATTAATTTACTTTTCCTTTGTTCTTGTTTAATTATCTTTCTATTGATAACTTATTGTGTTCCAAATGTTCAAGGATTATCTCAATCATCTTTATCTTCATTTTCTTCATTTTCCTCGTCACCATCTCCATCTCCATCATCATTTCCAATATTTCCATCATCATCGTCTTCTTCATCATCTTCAATATCTAATCATGTCCATGAAATCGCGACATTTGGTGATCAAATTGCTTCATTACCTTGTGAAGTAAATATTAAAAGTTGTGGTTCCATTTCAATGGTCACTTGGTTTAAAAATGTTTCATCACAATGGGAACATATTTATTCATATTCATTTACTGGTGGTGGACATCACAAAGTATCAGGTTCATTTATTGGTCAACCGAAAGGATATCAATGGACGATACAAATATTACTCTTACCGGGATTACTTATCTAAGGATTAAAAATTTAGGATTAAGTGATGAAGCAAATTACAAATGTGAAGTAACTTCATCATTCAACATCAACAATTAACCATCATCACAATAATAATAACATGATCAACAACAATCATGATAATATTAATGGTAAATTGTTATCGTCATCATCAATGCCATCAACTGATTGTCCAACTACAACATACTCCAAATTATTTACATTAGGTAAGTGGTCAATCTTACATTTTCAAAAGTTCTGATCAGAAAATCTCAGTTACAGTTATGATTCTCAAAGTCTATTGGTCATCTTGTTAGTGTTGACTAATTATAATCTGATTTGATTTCTTTCATACATGTATTAATAATTCAGTATCAAGATTACGGTTTAGTTGATCAATGTCTCCATTGACCAAGTAATCAAATGAGTATTGGTCAATATCTTGTTAATACAAAAGTCAATCATTTTCACAATATAATATTGTATTTGTTATCTCAGCATGATAACCTAATAATATTATATCATGATGATTGAATGTCCGAGTTTCTGTGTTGGAGGTTACGATTTTTTCAACTATTTCTGGTTCGGTAAAATAATAATAATCATCATCATCATGGTAATAAAAATATTACATTGGGGAGAGTATAATAAAAATGATGATAAGAAAGATGAATATGATAAGCTGAAGATTGAACGTCTTGAGTTCATTTTCAATATGATGAAGATCAAGCTTAAGCTGGATGAAGATGATGATGATATTTTCATCGAGAAGAAAAAGATATTGACAGGAAGGAAGAGAAGCATGAGAAAAGGATGATGATGATGAAAGAGACAAGAAAGATGACCAAGTGAAGATGAAGATGATGGTTGACAAAAATAACAGCAAACAATCAAGAATATGAGAAAACAAATGAAACAAAACATTGTAACGATAAGATGATGATCAGGATGAGGACTCTGATGATGATGATGATGGAAAGAAGGCCAAGAAGAAGAAATAAAGAGAGGGAGAAAGAGAAAGAGGGAGAGAAATAAAGATGAATTGATCCATGAAATGAGTTATGAGGAATCAATGATTATTTTACATGAAAAGAGAAGGGAAAATTTTTCTTCACCATGATCATGATAATCAATCGCATTCTATTTGTCATGAGAAATAGTTATTCTCATAAGGGAATCAAAGGCAAAGTGGGAAGGTAAAAAATTGCTCTTCTTATAATGTAACATATTATGTTAGTGACTGGGAGTGAAAATTAGATTATGAATACTTAGCACTTGGGTTTCATTGAGATTATTTGACAATTGAAGTGTCACATGGAATAAGAATTCATGATTAGTTTATGAATAACATGGAGATGAGAAAATTTTATGTTAAAAGAGGAAAAAATTAACCATAAAGAGAAAATAATACAATTCTGATTTCTCTCTCTCTCACTGTATTATCTTCGATTTCCTTTGTTTTTGTTATTCCATTCTCTTTGTCATCATTGTCATCATTATTATTTTATTATCTCCATTTCAAATGTTTTCCTTTTATCTTCATCACCTTCAATTTCAAGTTTATCTTCATCATCTTTGGGATAGATATCATCAAGATGAACTTTTCCTTAACACTTACATGAACATTAAGAGACACTGACCAACCCATCTTCATCTGCCAACTTAATCAGGATCACTTAAAAGTCTTTCGAATAGTCAGTTTGAACTAAGATAATGTTTTCTTTAACACCTTTCGATACTAAAATTAAACTATCAATGAATATTCCAATTCCGAAGATATGAAGTTATATAATTCATTTTTCTTTCAATTGACTCAAATCATCCTGCTTTTCATGTAAACGTCTTTTCATGATCAAGTGATCAATTCAGTCTTAAAGAATTGATTAACTTAATAGCTATTGACTTTTTGAGGTTTAAAGTTTCGATAGAACATGATTTTTATGTGAATCAAATTCTTGGTGTGAACATTTTACCTAATTAATTTGTCACCGTGAAAGACTCTGATTGTACTTTGGATTATCAAAAATTCCTTTCAGATAAATGTAGTATTTGAGGTCCCAGATTCCTAGCAAGTCTTAAGATTTTTAACAAAACCTATGGGGTGAAAAATTAATCTTTATGATGTAAATTCAGATTTCTTTTGAATCTCAAGATGCGTTTACTTATTCATTCTGATACTTAATTTCCAACCCAAATCACATTGAATAACATGGAGAAAAAAAGTTCCAAGGGAGACAATAAATAAGTTTGTTTTTTTCTTCTCTTTCTAAACCAATACCCAATATCCATCCTCAATCTTTACATTTATCTGTTGGCTAAGAGGTTCACCTTAAAGGATGAATAATCTTTATCTCCAACTCAATGATCTTTTTATTCACTAGACTCGATTACTTATCATGAGAGTGAAAGAGAAAAAAATTCGAAAAAAAACACACTTGACTCTCTAGTTTTCTCTCTCTCTCCCTCTCTCTATCTCTCTTTAACTCATCTTCCGCCTTCTTCACTATATTCTAATAAATCGCTTCCCACCCTCTGAACTTTTCTGTGTATTTATTTTCTGTATTATTTCAAAAACGATAACATGTAGACTCTCATGTTCATTGATTCTGATTATGTTTGTTTTTTTATCTCCTTTTTATCTTCATCATCATTATCATCATCTAAGGAGTCTATGAAGACTGTCCAGTATTCGGTACAATGAAAACAAAGTAATAGGAGAGAGAGGAAGACAAAGTAAACACTGACCTTGGATTTTATATCCAACCAAAATCGTTTGAAAACTGTTATCATTTCCAAAATCCAATATATGAGATTAAACTGTATCGACTCTCATGGAAGGATAATATACTTTCTTTGAAACGAAATCAACAGAAAAATAGACTCATGATAATATTCATTGGATTCTCAAAGATTTTCACAGTTAATATAATATTGATATAAACGTTGACCATTTGCAAATGGTCAAAGTTTATACAAAAACTATCTTAAGGTCCAATTTACTTTGACAATCATGATATATAAAATATAATAATCCAATCAACTTGATATCAATGTTATAATATTAAATTGCCTTTTCAAATTAATCCAATTGCTTATCATTAGCATGATTCTGAATTGTTTTGATATGATTCATGAAAAGTTATTCATCTGGCCAAAAGATATTAGTAAAATCAAGTTGATAATCAACTTTTATCTCTTACCTTTACCATGATTATCTGACATGATGAGGAAAAATAATCAGCTTAACCCATTCCAACTGAATAAATTAATATATTTATTCATTATCCTCACATTATCGTATCATACTAATCCAGTCGAGTTCAATTTTCACCCTGGAAAATTGATCTAATATATATACATGAGTGATAAAAGAATATTGAATTCTCATTATTTCAAATATCTCATTTCATTTTTCCTCCTTGAATTATTTTCATGATAATTCTGATCCAGAGAAAAGTCAATTTACTGAAACTGTTTGTTTGCCGGTAACATTAGCATAGTAAATTAATGTAAGTATATCAGGAAACGATGATGCTAATAAAGTCTCTTGTATTATATTATCGTTGAAATTTCCCAGGCCAATTGAAAGTTTCAAACGAAAATGCCCTAAGGGTAGACTCAGACAAAGAAATAAAATATAAAAGAAAGATAAAAAGAAAACTAAATTCACAAATAGAATAGAGAATCTAATGATATTTGATATCATCTTTATTACCCTGACTTTTAATACTTATTTTTTTCAATAACATTGAACTTCTTAACGATTCTGATGATTATCATGCAAAAAAAAAGTTATATGAAAATAAAAGTTTCACAAAGTTAAACTCAACAACAGGATTAACAATCATTGAAATAGTAATCTAATTTTTCACTTATCCTTGAATCATATCACATTGTTTGGTTGATGTATTATCTTTAATAGGATAATAATGATACAATGTTTCATAATAATTACCGTTAAGATCAATTTAATCAGTTAAACCTTAAATCTGTTCATGGTATTAATCTGTTAATCATCAATACGATAATGATATTGTATCTTATTTGCTTCTTATTACTAAGCAAATGAGTTTGATCCTCAAATCAGCTGACTAAACTTTCAGTCGATATTTTTACAAGTAATATGTTCATTTTGAATTCACTGATCAGAATAATTTAATTGTAAACTATTAATCAGTTGAATTTAGATGTAACTAAGTGATTATTTCAAGTCTCTAGATAATTGACAGGAAAAGTTTCGGGTTAATTGTAAAAACATGGTAACATATTCACTGGACCAACAATTTGCTTAGACAATTTGTCAATCTGATTTTGATTGTGTTCACCAATTGTTAATCAATTGAGATGCAAAAACTTTTCATGCTACTTGACGAGCGATAAATTTTTTCCTGTTTCCAATTGATCTTATTGAAATATCATGATTGATAATTTTATCTTGATAATAATAACGATGATGATGATCCAATCGAATTTGGTGAAAATGTTTAAGATGAATTTTCTGTGAATTCTATTCTCTGAGTGATCTTTCAATGGATGAGCTGTTCAAATGAAATCAAATCTTACAAACGGTTGACATTAAAGCTGAACAATCGTCACCATGGATTCTTGAATCATTGAGAATGAAAGTTATTCAAATGAAATGAAATATCTGACAACCACAAAGAAACACAGGGACACACACACACACATACATATAAAAAGGAGAAAAGTGTATTAAATATGTCACCAAAAGAAACCAAAAGTTGAACCAATCTTAAATAGAAATTAATATCATTTCACAATTTTCTATTGATAGAAAATCTAACCCTACATCTTTCACCACCATCATTGTCAAGTATTAATAACAATTCAATCTCAAGTCTACATGGAAGATAATTGATGAAAAAAATCAAGTTCTCATTCTCTGAAGGAAAGAAAATGAATAAATCTTATCGATACTTTTTTTTTCATGCAACATCAACAATCAAAATGATATGATAACTTTTTGCTCCCAAATATGATATCGTAACCATGATGATAAATATCATCATCATCATCATCATGAAATCAAGTGAATTCTGTACTTTTGTGTGCTTATATATAAAATGATGAGAGGAGAATTAAATTTATAGAAATTTCAATTTCTTTCAATGGTTTCGATTATGTGTCTAAATTTGATGATAAATCATCATGAATAAAATGAATTAGAACTTTTTCTTCTTCCTCTTTTTTTTAATGCATTTACCAA